ATATATCTTATAATGTCTAATGCCTTCAGTTTATCTTTAAGAGAGTCTACAACCCTTTTCTTGTTTTTTATTTGTTTGCTTTTAGATTCTATGATGTTGCCATAGTTTAGGGGTTGCATTATAAATCTATCAATTGGGGCTGGGTATTCCATGATCAGTTCTCTGTATTTCGACTAGTTGTGGCTTTCAGTAATGCTCTTCTACTGGTACAAAAAGAAGCTTCATTGATGCTGGGTGAGAGCTCCAGTTATTCCTGGGTGTAAGGATATGTATTTAGAATGCAGTAAGGAATTATACTTGTTTACCAATGTGACAGTAATATATTATCCTCCACGATCTCTAGCCTCACTATCCATGTGTAGATGGCTAGTTTTATAGTAGTAGGAATGATTTCTCTTCTGTTAAATAGGTCCTTACGTCCAAATTTCCTGAATATATTTTTACTGCAGTTTGGATTTGTCTTTATACTTTCTATAACTCTCCTAGCTCTATCACTTATATACTTGTTTAATAACTTAAACACTGCAAATATATCTTATAAAAATGTCTCTATCAAAGAAATTCACATTCACTTGGAGAATTACAGTAACACAGAGTCCCATTTTTCCCTCTAAGCTTTTGTTATAATCTCACCTTGGAGAAGTTGGCCTAAGAGAACAATGCAATCACTCTTGAGGACCTAGTATAACACTACCTAGAAGAGGTGTTTGAGAGTTTGAGATGCTGTTTTGCAGGATGTAATGTAGCGTGTGAAGAAGGAAAAGACATCAACAGATGATTCCATTTCTTCCATAAATATAATACATGGGCCAAAGAACTACAAGGTTGTGAAAGAATGTCTCCTAATGATCTATTTGCAAAAATGTTTTCATTTTGCTTCTTATTTTCACAATACTGGCTTCTACTATTTTATAAACTTATTATTTATAATATATTATCATCATTGGAGACATAAGAAGGTTTATTCTGGGTCAGAGTTTCAGAAGTTTTAATGTTTAGTCTCTTGGCCCTGATGCGTTAAACCCTGTGGCTACATCGTTGTGACATAAGTACATGACAGTTAATGTCTGCTTACCATATGAGAGTCAAGGCAAATCAAACCAAGAAAGAATGGAAGAAAGAAAGAAAGAAAGAAAGAAGGAAGGAAGGAAGGAAGGAAGGAAGGAAGGAAGAGAAAAGAAAGAAAAGAAAGGAAGGAAGGAAGAAAGAAAAAAAGAAAGGAGAAGGTCATGATCCCAGCACCCTCTTCAAGGACATGTCCCCAGTGACTTAAATTCCTTCCCCATCTCCTAAGAGACCGTTGCTTTCTAATAATGCCAATGGCTAACAACTAAGCCTTTGTCTTATAGATCTTCAGGACAATTTCTAAAGTGTAGCATTATCCGAGGGTAGGCAATTTTTAGCTTAGGAAAACAAAAATCGTTTCAACAGAATTCGAACATAAGATTGCTTCTTATCAGCAAACCAATGTGAAGTCAATGAAAAGCAAACCACCACAGTATTTTATAGATTATCAGATATAAATCAAAAATTATTTACTGGCTTTCCTCTTCCACACAACATCCCATCACAGTGACAATTACTAGAGAAAACCAACTTAAGGTAGGAAAGATTTATTTTCACTTATGATTTCAGAGGTAGTTGACTGTAGTGTTTTGAATAAGAATGGCCCCTATAGGTTCATATATTTAATTTGGTCACAAGAGAGTGTCACTATTAGGAAGTGTGGCTTTGTTGGAGTAGTTATGGCTGTATTGGGGGAAGTGTGTCACTGGGGGTGGAATTTTAAGTTTTCGATGCTCAAGCCTGGCCCAGTGTCACTATCTCTTCCTGCTGCCTGTTGATCTAGATGTAAGAACTCTTACCTCCTTGTAACACCATATCTGCTTACATGCCTCTATGTTCTACCATGATGATAATGGTCTAAACCTCTGAAAATTTCCATGAGCAAACTACCCAAATTAAATGTTTCCCTTTATAAGACTTTTTGTGATCATGGTGTCCCTTCAAAGTAATAGGACAGTGACTAAAACAGCGTAAACATGCTCCCCATATTTCATGTCTTAAAGGCATAATCCCAGAAGTTATATACTAATGAATTTTTTCTATGGAACCTTTGGAATAGTTTAGATTATGACTACATTAATAACTTTATAAGAAGAGTTATCTTGTTTTCCTTCCAAATGTGATTTTGCCCACTGTATTATGATGCAGGATAAACACCTTTACGAGATGCTGCACAGATGTCCTCGCCAGGCTCTTGAACTCATGTATCTTTTCTTTATGATTTCACAATATAAAATATTTTGTTATGGAACTTGAAAATGGACAAGGCGAATACCACATTGACTTTTTGTGGCACTAATTTTGCATTAGTGTTGTGCATACTTGGAAATGCTTAAATTTGGGTTTCTAGCAGTATGGTATAGATTGGTAATACTGCATTGTGTAAGAACACTCAGACCTTATCTATTTACAAAATCTCTCAAATGCTGTATTTAATGAGTCATAGGGGGCCAGAAGTGGAAGGTTATCATCACAGTCAGGCTGTTGATATCCCATAATTGACACGGGGGGAAAACAAGTCTAAGAGAGCATAACTTGGGAGGTAGTCAGAGTTGAGTTCCCACCCTCTGGCTTTATCTTCTGATCACTCAGAGTAGTTTTGTGGTACCTGCTCATATATTTATTTCTCATGTGTGCTATAATATGAATAAGGTTGTTGTTGGGAGGTTGTTTTTCATGGGTCTGTTGAATTTCTGCATGTATGAAAAGAACTTTTTGCCACTTATTCAATAGTCTTGCATCTTATGCTGACATCTGTGAAACTGCAGCTACCCTGCTACTTGAAAGCAGAAAGCAAAATCTCAGACACTTTATGGCTTGTCTCAGTTGCAGTCAGTGCTTTCAGAAGTTGTTAGTAAATATTTGAGGATAGTTGTGTTCTATTTAAATTAGTTTTAGAGATTCTGAGGCAAAATGAAACAGCAAAACAAAAATAAAAGAAATGAAAAGCAGGTTACGGCCTTGTCGGATCCTGTAAATAAATAGCCCCAGGAATTGGGGTGGGAAGGAGTGTGTGATAAATTTCAATTATTATTTAAATAGGAAAGCTTTCTCATTTCTCCCTTAATGCAACATCTACTAAGTTGGCAAAGTATGATAGAAAAAAATTAAAAATTAGAAAGTGAATTTATACCATAAAGGTAAAGATGGAAATAGAATTGGGGGGAGTATTTTTCACATCCTTTCTAAACCCAAATGCATTAAAGTTATAACAATAAAAGTATCAACTAAAAGTAACTTTGACTTTAAGTAAAAGAAGTAATGAGCTAGGAAAAACAGTACAGACCTTGTGAAATGCCCTATTTTCATATGACACACTCAGATCTAGTAAGAGGAAGGGTGTCAAGTTTATAGAGATGACAATGACGATAATAAAATTCAAGAGTTCTTAAGCACTATGTATATTTCTCATTAATTTTGATTATATCCTTTTGTTTATTTGTAGCTCAATTTTAGGGTCACTGGAATGAAAATACCATTTTATCCTACTTATAAGGTCCTGCTATATAATTGCTGACTATCTGCCATATTGACTGCAGACACCAAGGTGTGACAACTGATTGAAAAATTGATTCCTTAGTTTCATTGAATTTTAAATAGTTAAAATTTATGTTTAAAGATCAGCTTTTGGCTAATGGCCACTACAAGTGACTATAGTGACTATAACAACTACAGTGCAATTAGGAACATTATGAGGAATTAGAAGCCCGATTGGAAATCCGAATTTCAGTTATTTTTGATATACATTAAATAGCAATGCTACTGGTGTACAGGCTACAAAACTCCTTCACTTACTCAGCAAACATTTATACACATGTATGCTGTACATAAGTGGAATAGAAGTTTAAACACCATCCATCCAACGGGTTAAAAATGAGTAGGTCTGTGCAAGGTTACAGAAAACGTCACTGGGAAGGAATGAGCCACAGATCTCGCGAGACCTGCTATTGTTGCAATTGTCACGAGAGCTCCAAGTTCCATGAGAGTTTCAAGTCCTAGGAGAGGTTAAGTGCTGATGTTCTGGGTGGTCCAGAAACTGTGAGGCATTGCCTCAGCTAGGTCAGAGTTCCGAACCATGTCTTCGGATCTCAGATCAAAGCAGGGGAGGAATAGATCCAAGAGCCAGGCTTTGTGAGTAGCACAGTTCAAGATGGTAGCTGATAGCGGGTACAGAGGCAAGAATCTTGCCCTCAGAATGTTTCCGGGGACTCTGAGTTCTGGGCAGGGGATCAGTATGGCTGCCGGCCCTCAGTTTGGTTTCTGGGCTGCAGTAAGTCAGTGTCTGCAAAATATGTGGGCCCAGAGGCACTTGGGCCTGTTTCTGTTTCTACTCTGGATGCTGGTGATCCTGTGCTATTTTGTGAATACTGGTGAGTGTTGATTCTAGGCTAGATAAGGTATAACAGGAGCTTGGGAAGTGTGGGGAAAGTGAGTCCAAGGGGCAGAGTGATGAGTGGTGCCCAGGAGGGGAGTGGGGCAAAAGGGGGGTGATTGGGGTGCTACTCGGCAGGAGTAATGGGGTTAAAAGAATCAGAGTGAGACAGAGGGCCAGGCGAATTAATAGGGTCCCAATAGTTAGTGAGGCAGGAATTGAGGGGATGAGGAGGGAATGGGGTTGAGGTGGGGGACAGTGATTGCAGGGACATGTAAGATTGGACTGGAGTGCTGTAGTGAGATTTGGGGGTGAGGCAGGATGGAGGTAATTAAAATGTGTGAGGTGATTGAGGGCTTGAGTCCAGTATTGAAATGTGCAAGGGAGTTTTTGAGAGGGTAAGGCAGGTTGTGGTGTGGGGTGAGCAGGACCAAGGGAGATGCCAGGGCTGAAGGTTGAGGCATGATTAAGGGTGCCGGATGGGAACTGAAGGGATTAAAAAAGTATACCAATGATTCAAATGTGTTTCAGTCTTCCTCAATAACCATTCACCTCACACACTTTCTTTTATAAAACCCCTGTCCTTTTTTAGGGCTAAATAGTATTTCATTATATGGATTTTATACATATATATATGCACACATTTTATATATGAATATATATTTATTTATCAAATGTACTAAATTTGTGTTGTTTCTTACCTTTCTGTTATTAATAATTCTTTTATGAGCATTTGTATATAAATTATTGTGTGGATATATTAAGAGTAGAATTTAGGGGTCATGTAGGAACTACATACTGAATTTTTTGAGGAAGCCATAGGCATATTTTATGACTGACTCATTTATGTTCCTAGCAGCAGTGAAAACATTTGCTGTTCCTCTCTCTTTGTGATGACAGCATCCTGATAGCTATAAAGTAATACCTTGTTTTGATGTTGATTTGCATTTCTTCAATGACTAGTGATGTTGAACACCTTTTCATGTGTTTGTTAACATTTGTTTAACTTTGGGAAAATGTTCTTTTAAAAAACTGTTCATTTTAAATGTGTTTTAAAATTTTAATGCATTTTTAGATTTTCTTTTTGTATTTTATACATAGGATCATTATCCAAGAATACCATTTGCAAATATTTCCTCCACTTCTATAGATTGTCCTTTTACTTTCTTCATAATGTCCATAATGTCTTTGTTTAAAATTGCCTTGCAACCTAGCCCAGGTCTGGTTAGCCCAGGTTATTCTGACACTTGTCAAAATCCTTCTGCCTCTGCCTCATGCTGGGCTTTACAGGCATGGGACACCATGTCCAACATAATGTTCTTTGATGAACAAAAGATTTACATTTCTATGAACTACAAATTATGTTTTTTCTTTGTTTGGTCCTTCAGTGTCATATCGAAGTAACCATTGCGAAATCTGAGGTCATGCAAAATTATTTCTGTTTTCTTCTAAAAATTTTAAAATTTTATCTCTCAGATTTGAATTGTTGGCCCATTTGTGTTAATTTTTATATATAGTATGTATGAGGAGTTAACTTATTTTACCTTTTGCATGCAGCTAATCAGTTTTAATCTCAAAAGGTTTTAAAAATTTTAATTTTTATTTGTGTGTCCGTCTGTGTATTTGCACTGTTTGTGTCAAGTCATCTTTAGAAGCCAGAGAAGAATATCAGATACCAGATACCGTGGAGCTAGAGTTAACAGGCAGATGTGAACTTCCCAAGATGGATCCAGGGAACTTAACTCTGGCCCTCTGAAAGAGCAAACTGTGCTCTTATTCCTGAGCATATGGAAGTCAGAGGGGAACTCCAGAGTCAAGTCAGTTCTCTTCCTGCCTTTATACCCTTACCTTCCAAGAATCAAACTCAGGTTCTCAGGCCTGATTTGCAAGTGCTTTTACCAATACCAGTGGCCCATCTTGCTAGGACCAGATAATATTATTTTATTTTGGCTACCCAATAGACTAATGACAAGAAAGGGTATGAGGGTACAAAAAAGTGGCATTTAGCTGTACTATTATTAGTATGCTTCAGGGTTCCACTGGAAAATCATAGCCCAGTGATACAGTCTGCGAGGTTCTGGGAATAATTTGGAGCATCAAGAATAAAATACAAAATCGCCAAACAGAACAAGCAACACCAACAAAATAAGAATTTAACAAGAATATTTTTAAATGTTAGCAAATATATAGCTCTAATACTAATATTCCAAGCAGGTGATAATCATTGTAATATTCTTTAAAATAAAAATGAATTAAGAACAATATAAATGTTTTCCTAGATAATAATTCAGCCATATAAAAAAGTTTTAAGGCATAATTAAAGAGACTATTGAATATTTTTCTTTATCTTACACGGGAGAGAATTATGCAAATGAAAGTAAATTGGCTTATCTGTAATAGAATGAAAGAGGGCTAAGAAATACTTTCTGTACCCTCATGTGAGGACATCAGCATACTTGTCAAGACTTTATTAGCTAGGTTCTGATATAGTTGGAATACATACTGCTTCTGATTTTTCTTTTTTTTTCCTTGGGTTTTCCATTGATAAACCTTTAAACACTAAGCTCTTTGTTAAGCAAATTTGTTATTTAAATCATTGTCCAGAAGACCAGTGGAATGTGTGAGTCTGTATGTTAAATATTTGTTAATTTGAATACTTTTTCAGTTTTGTGACAGAATCACAATCTGATTATTAATGCTATTAACTCTGTTACAAGATTAAAATGCAACATCTGTTATATTTCCATAACTAGTTTAAGCACGGTTAGTTACTATTAAAGTTTCATTGAAAATGACAAATGTTTATATATACGGGGATTAATAATTTCACTTCTATACATTTCTCAGATTCTGTGTCTTTAACTGAGAAATTGCCTCAGCACAATGGAACTCTAAAAGTTCGATCCAACTGGGAAATTCTGTTGAAATTTTTCTTTCCAACAAGTAGGTTGTCTATTTATGTATTTATTTTTTTCCTTAATGTCCTTGTTTTAAAAAGAGTAGTTAAGCACTTCAGAAACAGACTGTTTTCAACATTGCAGTGGAACAGACCGGTGTTTGAGCCCTGACTCTGCCCTTTGCCTTAAGCAAGATAATCTCTCTGGATATCTTCTTACAATGAAGATACATACCACAGGAGTTGTGAGGATAAACTGGGACAATAACTGCAAGCAAAAAGGACATATTAAGGCTTAAGTTTGTATTTTTTCATAAAGTACTTTTCCTTTAGAAATACCTAAAGCTTTTATAATTTACCTGAGTGGCATGGCCTAGTTTAGTCACTGACCCAGCATTGTGAAATTGATGTCTTTTGTGGCATTATCAGTGGCTCTGTTGCTATGGAATATACCAGATGTTTTCCCATCTGTGATAATGATAAAACATCCAGGTTTCAAGTCACATAATTTTGTGATCTGTATATGGTATTTTTTATCAAGTACATGATGACCCTTGAGAATTATTAGCTACAAATAAACATTTTATTTTCTACAGTATGTACAAACCCTTTCAAAGTGAAGTTTCTTATAAATTGCCATGATAAAGATTTTGCTAAAATCTATGTAGAATTTATTCTAAGAAAACCTGATATACTTATCTAAACACAAAATTGAATCCATTGCTTAATTCCAGATCACAGCATTCAAATCTCCTGTGGAAAAATCTATGCTTCTCTAGTGATTTCATCAAGTATAAAATAGCTATTGTAACACCTGCTACCTATGAGAATAGGAAAATCAGTTAAAGCTACTGCCATAGTCAAGTTGAATGAATAAGAAAATAAATCTGGGAAGGAGTTATGTTGGATAGACTAAAAGAAGGGCTTATTAAATACAGTAACAGGAAATGACAGTTTAAGCTATAGAGCTTTGAAAACAAACAGAAATCAACTGTCAAACACTTGCCTACTTGTCTAGGATGATGACAGTAATACAAAGAGTGAAGTGGCCTTTAAAATGGTCCAAATGATATTTATTTATTTAATTTTAGTTTTTTTTTCTTTTTTACTTATTTGTTATGTATACAATATTCTGTCTGTGTGTATGTCTGCAGGCCAGAAGAGAGCACCAGACCTCATTACAGATGGTTTTGAGCCACCATGTAGTTGTTGGGAATTGAACTCAGGTTTTTTTTTTTTTTTCTTAACATAAGAAATTGAATTAAAATAAATTGTGTAAAACTTTTTTCTCAAATCAAATTGTTTATTCTCCCTTCTTCCTCTTCCTCCTTCTTCCCTCCATTCCTTCCTTTTATTATTTGTGACAGGGACTGATATGGCCAAGGGTAATTCTCACATTCTTTATGTGGCCGAGAATGACATTAAACTTCTATTCCTTCTGCTTCCATCTCCCAAATTCTAGATTTATAGTCACATGCTGCCAAACCTGGTTTATGAGGTACAGGGGATCCAACTCAGGGTAGCATGTACATCAGGCAAGCATTTCATCAACTAAGGCACAATCCCTGTCCTGCTTTCCTTTTTAAAAGAAAGACCAAGATTGATCTACTGTGATTTAAATAATAGTCTCTGTGTGATTATTTCAAGTCTGGGCAGCTGGAACGAACAAGCGGCCTCCTACTACAATCTTTGAAAACAGAGTATTAACATTTATCACTTTTATGTACTGTCTTTTTTGAAAATAATAATTATGAAATAACCTAACTGAAATAATTTTGAGTGTTTCCAACATAAAGCAATAGAAATGTTTAAGGTGGTGTATATGCTGTTACTCCAGAATAGACATTGCACATACTATGTACATATACACATATATATTTATGGCAAGGACACTGTGCCCCATAAATTATTGAGTGAATTGTTAAATAGCTGTTAATTTAAACTTTAATTTTTTTCATTTTGACTTTAGCATTTATCATTGTTTGTATTTTTGAATGTACTGTGTTAAATGTTTTTCTTTTTCTCTTCCTTTGTATTCATTTGATTATGAAAATGCTTTTTAATCATGCTAACTATTCTTTCTTGGATTCCTATCTTTGGAAGCATGCATTATAAGGGAGAATCAGGAGGTATTGGCTTGTAATAAGCAATCATATCTCAGCAAGACTGAATGTTTAAAATCCAAGTGCTGTTTTTCATCATCTGGGACCAAAATGAGGTGCTATGCCCCACTAAGAGATAGTAAGTAGATAAGATCTTATTTATTTGCTTTAAATACTAAAAAACAAAAATAGAAAAACATTTAAATAAATAGATTGCAAGGTTTTTAGATTTTTCAGCTCAAATTTCCAAGGAATTCCCAAACCAAGACCAATGGTATCATTAGAAATTCTGACATAGTTCCCTAGCAGTTTATGTTTAGTTAGTTCTTCGACGATAACTAACATCCAGAATTAGTCTAAGCTGTTTAGTTGATTCAGTCACTCTCCCTTTTCTTTCAAAGCTTCTAAGCTTCTGTATGAGGTATGATTCTCTGCCTGAAAGAAGGTACCAGAAAGGTGTAAAAAGGGCAAGAAAGTTTCCTTTCTTGCTGCTATGACACAGATCCTACCAAAAACAACTTGGAAAAGGCTTCATTTCACTCCCTCTTTCAGCGGCTTCAGTTCACGGCACCTTGGCTCCATGTATTTCAGCAGAATATCATGGTAGTTAGAACATGTCAAGGAGGGAAGAGAGTGAGCCATTTTATAACCAACTAGGAATCAGAGATGGAGAATACACATAGCATGATCTACTTGCACTACTTGGGCCCTACCTCTACTTTTCACTGCCACCCAATGTCATTAGTAAACAATAAATCTCTAAAGTGATTAAACTATTCGTTAATTACAGGAGAGCCTTCACAATCCACAGTGTTTCGAGATTTTCTTACAGATACATTCAGAGGTGTGCTTCATTAAATCTTCTAGGCTTTTCTGAATTCGAAGTCAATTGCCAATCAACGTTCACTATCACAGGGAGTAATTCCTTCTCACTCATTGTGAAGTGTCTTAGATGATAGCCCTATTCCAAAAGTGAGATTACCAGGAAAAAAATCACAAATTTATTTAATCATAGTTTTCTGTGACACTGAGGCTTCTGAATTAAGAGTTGGTGACAGAAAGTAACATTTAATACACTTTGATCCATGGAGCACAGCCACATGTAGAAATGATTGGACACAAAGTGTGATTTAAATGGGGAAGTCTGAGAAGGTCTGTCCAGATTCTTTTTTTTTTTTATTAATGCCCTCCCTGTATCCTTCCTCCCAGGTATCTGCTTTAGGGCCCTATGGAACTAGAAATCCTGTGACCTGCTAAATCAGGGATCGCTTCCCTTTTCTACTCTTCTTCTTCCCTTCTCCCACTTTTGTTTGCTTCAGATTTTTTGTTTGAAATGGGGTCTCAGGAAGCTCAAATTTGCCTTAAGTTTGCCGTATAGTTGAGAATGACCTAGAACTTCGGATTTTCCTATCTCAGAACTTCAGATGTTCAGATTATAGTCATGTGGCACAGCACCTATCTGGTTACAACATCTTTATCTCCAAGAATGAAAGGCAGGGGGAAATCAGAGTAACTGTTTTGAGCTTATGACTGATTTGGGGGAAAAAAACTTCTCCTTTCTGTGACCTGTCTTGGGTGAATAAATTTGAATTTCTCTGACTTTTCATCTGGGGGAGAGAAGAGTAGGAGATAAGAAGCTAGGTGAAAATCAGAAAGAAATCGGACTATTTTTTTCTGAGACAGGAGTCCCCTATGTTTTAGTCTGGCCTTGAAATTTCTCTATAGCAGGTGAGGACCTCGAGTTTTCAGTGAGCTTATAGGCTTGCACTACCATGCCTAGTTTATGTGGTGCTAAAGTTCAAACATAGGGCTTCATGCATACTAAACAAGCACTCTACCAACTTTGGGGCTTCTAAGGCTACATACGAGGCCCTCTCTCTGGTATCATATTCAGCTCAGTCCTAATGACACCACTTAGGAACAGCTTAGCTTAACTTTTTATTCTGAGTTTCTCTTGTACCGAATTCTTCTCATTTGTCTTGTCTTCGACAGCTTAGCATGCAGAAGTAGATGTGAATGTTTCCTGTTAGCTGTCTTTATTAGCTTTTCTTTGTTCTGTTTCTTTTAGAATAATCCAAAGCAAAGTTATCCTCGTAAGATTTTTTTTTCTGAAGTTAAAGAAATAACACCATCTGTATTTTTCTTCTACCTTATTTGCTGCGGGGGGCATATTATCTGTTGGTCCCATGATAAGTGTATTGGGTGTGATAGAGCACTAAGAAATAACAGGATCCATGCAGAACAATATCTTAGGTCTATATATAGTCCTTATTCAATTTCGAGCTCTTTGTTGTACATCTAGTATTAATGATGAAAACTAAGCATGATCGTGAATATAGTATTGAGGTTTTAATGCTGTCATGTTGTATTTAGAACTTATTCATCAGTTTACTGTTTCTATTATGTGTAAAGAAACATTTGGTTCTTTTAATGGAAAAAATTAAACCATGACTTACAGTTCCCCAATCACATTAGAATACATTTCCCAGTGTATATGAGGCTAAATATGCTTCTTTACCTGCAAATTTTTGATTCTGTGTTTAATTAAGTGCTTTATAATTTGGAAGTAAACACTGAAGAAGCCATTTCTTTTTTTTTAAAGACTTATTTAATTATGTATGCAGTGTTCTGCCTGCATGTATCCCTGCAGGTCAGAAGAGGGCACCAGATCTCATTATAGATGGTTGTGAGCCACCATGTGGTTGCTGGGAATCGAACTCAGATCCTCTGGAAGACCAGTCAGTGCTCTTAAACTCTAAGCCATCTCTCCAGCCCCAGAAGCCATTTCTTTACCAGGTTAACTATTCATAGATTGATTTGTTCTTCAGATGCTCAAGGAGGTAGAACATATAGCCATAGAGCAAGTACACTTAGGGCCATACTAAGAATCCAATATTATGAAACATAATCTCCCAATGAAAACAGCCTGATTATTCTGTTAAGGTATTGTTGAGGGGGGGCATTTTGAAAGTAGCTTTTAGTTGCATTTCAAGAACTCTGACCTGAAGCATAACAGGGAGGTTCACTATTCACTTTACTTCATTAACTGATTTTTTTTTATAAATACTTTATAAAATAGTTTAGGTTTGCTTTTCTTGCCTAGCTATAAAACTGACAAGATGTAATTAAACCAACAGAGCCTACACAGATGCTCCGGGTGTTTGGGTTCTCTGCGATCAGCATGATAATCTTGGGATTCCTTCCTATGTATTGCTGTACTCTTTGCCGGAGAAGGTAGACAAACATAAATCTTTATTTGCTAATTGCTAACTATCTGTGGATATATTTGTGTTGACTTATTTATTTGATTGCTTTATATGTGAAGGGATAATGTTTGATAATGTTTGAGTTCTTTATTTTTGGAGAAAAAAATAAAAATAAAATTACCAATTTTTTTTAAAGACACATTATTTTTTCACAAATATGAAATGTCCTGTTTAATAGGCTTCATATATTTTATCATCAAACAAACTGGGATGAAAAAGAAGTGTGCGAGCTGGAGATGTGCGGAGTTGTGGCAGCCAGCTCGGGGGAATCTCTGCAAGTGGTGAACTACCAGGGCTCTCACACCCTTGTTCTTAAAACATTGGTCTGTCTTTAACAGAAGTTATGGCAGACTTTTCCTTAGAGTCTTATGGCAGATACCAATGGAAAACTAGCACTTGATGCTTCCAAATTTGTTCCAATTTTTTTTTTTTTGTAGATTTCCACCCACTGAAGCAGAATGGGTATGAAGGTACACAGCAGAGCCAGAATAAGAATAACAAGTGAGGCAGGGGGGATATGGCTAAATGACATAGTACTTTCTTTGCATGTGGTCCAAGGGTTCAGTTCCCAGCATTGAAAAAACGTTAAGGTGTTAGGAGCTTAGCATTTAGGGAAATCCCATATTCAGATTCAAGTACAAGGTCAGCAAAGACATGACTGGGAGCAATTCAGTTTCTGCTTCAGTTTTCTGGGGAAAGGTTTTGGTTGCAGATTAACCACTTCTGATGTTTTTACAGTTTATTTTATTTTTCATAAGGATATCAAGGTTTTGTTTATCACTCTAACAGACCTTTATGTATGTGTGTGTGTGTGTGTGTGTGTGTGTGTGTGTGTGTGTGTGTGTGTGTAGTACTAAGGATTGAACGTAAGACTTTGTGTGTAATAAGTGCTACATTGCTAAGGAAAGTACTATACCATAAAGCTATGTACCCAGTCAGGGTCTCATTGAGTTGTCTAGTCTGGTTTTGAGCTTACTATGTAATTCAGGTTGGCCTTGTACTTTTGATATGCCTTCCTCATCCTCTGTGTAGCTGGGATGATAAGCCTATAGTACAAGGTGCAATTTTAACAGAGCGTTTTAAATTCTGTTAAGTCATAACATTTCAGCTATTCCCACTTGCATGCAAGTCAATTCTTTTTCTCAGATTTCATTTAACTTTAAATTTTGAGTATAGAATGTTTTGTGTGTATGGTGCATGCTCATGTGTATGAGGATGCATGTGCCTGTGCTTGTGAGGAGGTCAGATGATGCTAGAGGCTCTGGTCTATCACTTTCTGCCTTATTCATTTGAGACAGATTGAGATTACAGGTGTGCAAGGCCTGCCTGACTTTTATTTTAATGTTGTTGCTAATAACCAAACCCAGATTATCATAATTGTATACCAAGTGTATACTTGAGTGTATGGTTTCTAGCCTCCTCTATTCTTTCTTTCTTTCCTCCTTCCTTTCCTTCCCCCCTCCCTCCCTCTCTGCCTTCCTGCCTTCCTCCCTTCATTACTATATTTACTTGTGTGGGTGTTTTGCCTGCATGCACATCTGTTCCATGTACATGCTTGGTGCCCCAGAGGCAAGAGGACAGCATCAAATCTCCTAGGCTTGGAGCTATAAATGGTTGTAAGCCTCCTTGCGTGTTGCTTGGAATCAAATTCATATCCTTTGGAAGAGCAGCCAGTGTTCTTAACAACTGGGCAATCTTTCCAGTTTCTCATTAGCCTTTTTTTATTTTGTTCTTTTCCTTAGATTATTAGGAGTAGGAGTGGAATTTTTTTGACTCCCCTTTTCCCTTCAAAGCTTGCTTTCACAGGAAAAAAAACTTTAAAAGTAAAATCTTTGTTAGATTTTCATTAGCTAGAATTATTCCTTATAATTTGGAAATTGTTTGGATAGTAAGACTGGCATAATTTCACTTGGATCTTCTATTACATATTTACCAACTGAGTTTATGGAGACATTTATATCCATTGGATTGTTCTCTTTCAACTAACATCCAAAAATTATCCCCTGATGAGAACTTATTTTATGTTTAATATAAACTATTTTTGAGACTCAGCCACTGTGAATAAGAACTTGAAATCCATATGTTCTGGTTTCCCATGCTGTGAGGTCAGAGACTTGACAGCTCTCCTCTAGGGAGCAGACGCCTCAGAGAGATGCCATGCCCCAGCTCCCAGGCAGACGCACACTATGAAGCTCCGACCCAGGATGGACATAGGCTAGAATCTTCCCGGTAAGACCGGTTCTCACAGATTATTAGAGATAGGTTGATTGGGATGTGAGAATTAGCCTGTAAGTGCTAGAGCTAAAGGGCCAAGCAGTGCTTAAAAGAATACAGTGTCTGTGTAATTATTTTGGGACATAAGCTAGCCGAGCAGGCGGCCGGGGTGCTGGGAACGCAGCGCCGCCACCCTTATTACTACAATGCTGTTGTGCTTCTATTTTGTGTGAGGGGTATGTTCCTTCTATCCTTCTAAGCTGCCTGCCATGGCCTCAGCACAAATGGCAGTTTCATCTAGGTGTTTAGCTCAATTTCTTCTAGCACCAGTGGTTGAGAGTAGATGGGATACTATCAGTTTCTCCTGGAAGGCTGATTTTAAAAAGTAAAGAGCAGATAAGGAGATAAATGGAAGCCAAAGGTTGCAAAACCCCTCTGTTTGAGGGGCAAGATACCTCATTAGAATAATCCTCTTAACTCACTTCCCATCTCCATTTCAAAGAATAAAGAACATAAGTTGTTAAATTAGTGAGAATAAATAACTTCATAAAATGAAAATAGGCATAGTAGTAAAATTCATGGATTAACTATTTAAAAAGGAAAACAGGGAATGGAGAAAGGGCTCAGCAGTTAAAAATGTGTAGTGCTCTTGTTTCAAAGGCATGTTTACCTGCAGGTTCAGGTCTGGAGATATTTGCTGTCTCTGGCTTTACTCCCTTCTCACAGAATGCATCTATACAGTTAAGATTAAGGGAAACTGACAAAGGTCTGATCTCCAAAATATATAAAGAACTCAAGAAACTAGACCGTAAAAGGCTAATCAACCCAATTATAAAATGGGGCACTGAGCTGAACAGAGAATTCTCAACAGAAGAAGTTCAAATGGCCAAAAAACACTTAAGGTCATGCTCAACTTCCTTAGTGATCAGGGAAATGCAAATCAAGACAACTTTAAGATACCATCTTATACCCATCAGAATGGCTAAAATAAAAAACACCAATGATAGCCTTTGCTGGAGAGGTTGTGGAGAAAGGGGTACACTCATCCATTGCTGGTGGGAATGCAAACTTGTGCAACCACTCTGGAAAGCAGTGTGGCTGTTTCTCAGGAAATTCGGGATCAACCTACCCCTGGACCCAGCAATACCACTCCTGGGAATATACCTAAGGGAGGCCTTATCATACAACAAAAGTATATGCTCTACTATGTTCATAGCAGCATTGTTTGTAATAGCCAGAACCTGGAAACAACCTAGATGCCCTTTAATGGAAGAATGGATGAAGAAAGTATGGAATATATACGTATTAGAGTACTACTCAGCAGTAAAAAACAAGGACTTCTTGAATTTTGCATACAAATGGATGGAAATATACACTATCCTGAGTGAGGTAAGCCAGACCCAAAAAGAGGAACATGGGATGTACTCACTCATATTTGGTTTCTAGCCATAAATAAAGGACATTGAGCCTATAATTAGAGATCCTAGAGAAGCTAAATAAGAAAGAGAACCCAAAGAAAAACATAGGCATCCTCCTAAATATTAACCTTCATCAGGCTATGAAAGGAGACAGAGACAGAGTCCCACCTTGGAGCACTGGACAGAAATCTCAATGTCCATATCAGGAGCAGAAGGAGAGAGAGCATGAGCAAGGAACTCAGGACCGCGAGGGGTGCACCCACACACTGAGACAATGGGGATGTTATATCGGGAACTCACCAAGGCCAGCTGGCCTGAGTCTGAAAAAGCCTGGGGTAAAACCTGACTCGCTGAACATAGCGGACAATGAGGACTACTGAGAACCCCAGAACAATTGCAATGGGTTTTTGATCCTACTGCACGTACTGGCTTTGTGGGAGCCAAGGCAGTTTGGATGCTCACCTTACTAGACCTGGATGGAGGTGGGTGGTCCTTGGACTTCCCACAGGGCAGGGAATCCTGATTGCTCTTTGAGCTGATGAGGGAGGGGGACTTGATTGGGGGAGGGGGAAAATGGGAGGCAGTGGAGGGGAAGAGACAGAAATCTTTAATAAATAAATAAAGATTAAGGGAAAGAAGCCAGACACAATAGTTAGTGTAAATCACAGGAACTAAAAGGCAAGTACAGATCTGCATTAACATTATCTGTGCCTCTGTTGAAAGAATCCTTCTGCCATTTCATCATTACAAGGCACCCTTGTGCTCTTCTTAGCTCCTTCTGTCTTAAACTTGAGCTCTTAGAGTGTTCCTTAGTGGGGAGAACAAATGTGATTGGCTGAGCTTCCCCATCAATAGTGGAAGGCGGGGAGGTTGGGAGTGGGCAGAGCTTGTCTCTTAAAGGGACAAGGTACCCAGATGACAGACCAGGCCAGCAGATTACATTCCTATCTTTTTCTTATAATAAAAAGTTGGGAATTAGGTGTAGCAGGTTGAAGGAATTGGGAGGGTGGATTCTCAAGACTGCTTCCTGCTTATTGGTGGGCTGTGGGGTGCCTGCACCACCTAGAACCACAGTCGGGCAAGGATCTGGGGGATTAAAGAACACATAGAAACATGGGTCACTCTTGAAGCAAGAATGCCAATTTTTTGTGTTCCAGGGCAGCTTATATAGTGTTCTGCTTGATTAGTGGGCACACCCTAGCTCTCGGGATTTTTCAGTGCAAGCCCACCAGAAACCACTTCCTTGTTTTCGAAACTCATGAGGGTTTCATGCTCAGAGCATCTGCAAGCATAGAAAAACAAGTTGTTTACTCTTGCTGGCAAGAGGTCATAGAAAGTTCAGGGTCTGAGGGTTCTGCAGGCCCTAACAGCTCCCCCTTTTCTATATAATTAGACCAGGCCTGTCTTAGGTTGCAGAAGCACAAATTCACATCTTACCTGTCATCAAGAACACTTGCCTCCACATTATAAGGCCTCTGTCTTAGTTGATTGTGACAGGCTCCTGTCTTACCCGTTTTTGGCTCACTGGCCTTCTTGTATCATGTTGACCCATATTGTGCTTGGAGGAAGCACACTTACTTGGGCAAGCATCAATTGCTTAGTAGCAATATTAAAGCACTGCTGTTGCTGCTGCAGAACCTGTTGTAAAGGTAGAGCAATAAAAACCCTCTAGCTATAAGAGTTCTTCGGGTGATAGTCCCAGG